CCTGCCCATGCCCCAGACTGACATTTCTTTTTTAGAACTGCTTCTCCCTCTTTGGACAGTGTCTTTCTGGTACTGCCCATGAAGACGTCCCACCCTCCCCTGCTCATGGAGAGTGCCTGACCTGAGCTGGGCCCATCATATCCAGTGCTTACCTGGAATAGGAGAAGACAGGCAGTGTGGCCAAAGATTACAGAAATCTCTGAAGCTCATCCACTTCAGAGAGAGTCCCGGAAGATACTGGTCCTTCATTCCTGCTATGTATATCCAATGTGACTGAACTCTGAATAAAATGTACAAGTCATAATAATGTAGTAATTGACTCAGCAAACTAGGACACAAACATGTTAGAGGGTGAGGTGTTGAGAGGCGTGTTTGGGGGGGGTAGCGATGAGAAAGTATGTGAGGGAGAGATAGGACCGAAACTCAGAAAGCAAAGAGGAATAATAGCTACTTAGAGATAAGGAGCTAAATAATTGCTTATATATGATGAAACTCTGGGAGTACACAGTGGACTGCGGTTTTACTAAACAAATTTTCAAGTATATGTAACTTTGATGAAGTATCTTAAATAAAAATTTTTTTGCCATATATTTATGTGCCATATATTTACATACACATATTTATATTCATTGTATTTTGAATATAAATTTGTATACAGTCATGTTAATCCCTTTTCATTTAAGGATTTGAGTTTGATATCATGCATAAAACATGTCCCCACTGTATGACTACAGAAATCTTGGCAAAAGGAAGTTCAGAGGAAATGGCAGGCAAGTACTACCCAGTTTTGGCCAGAAGATGGAGAAAAAAAAGAATTCTCACAAAATGTTAAAAATGTGCCTTGTTATATCGTCTTTCCACAGTAATTTGAGCAGAAATTAGCAAAATCAGAAATTTTCAAATACCTTGATCTGGCAATTCCGTTTTCAGGTATCTGCGGAGCAGTAGACGGGGGATGCACGACAGATCTATGTGTTGGTCTGATCCCTGCATTTGTGTTTGTAATAATACACATTGGAGCAATTTCATGGCCATCAGGTAGAGAAGGTTTGAAGAATGATCCACTTGTATCAAGAAGGTTGTATAAAAGATCAAAGCCTGATGGAAATGCTGGAGACAACGGCGCTGATAGGAGCTCATGTGTATTGAACAATTACTATGTGACAGGCATTGGGCTCCACGCTTTTCCTGCACAGCTCATTTAAATATTGGACAACCTGAGTATTCTGGTTTAGTGCATGTGACATATAGAAGTGGAGGCACAGAAAATTAATGTGTTAACTTCAAACCCTGGCAGATTAGGTTTCTCCCCCAGAGTCTGTGGCTTCACCAGAGGTGTGACTCAGGTTCCGTCATTCTCCATTTTAGGAATTTCCGGTGTTCCAAATATGAGCAGCTGAGAAAACAAACTCAAAACCCTAAACACCAGGATAAGTAAGGGAAGATATTTGTTGGGGGGAGATTAAAAATGGACTTTTTTTGCCCCAAGCAACAAAGAGGCATGTTGGAAAATAGACAAGAGAGAAGAAGAAGAGAAGTTTGTTGTTGTTGTTATTTTATATAAGATGGGGTTTCACCATGATGCCCAGGCTGGTCTTGAACTCCTGACCTCAGGTGATCCACCCACCTCAGCCTCCCAAAGTGCTAGGATTACAGGTGTGAGCCACAGCGCCTGGCCTCAAGAGAAGTTTTAAGATATATTTGGTACAAGGAAGAGACTCTTCAGATGGAAGGTCATGTCAGCTAGAAACATTCATGTGACTGATGGGCTTGAACCACTGATGTTTCAGTCAACATCCGACAGCACTACCCTAGTGGTCTGGAGACACTGCTTGTGAAACAGTGAAAGCTGTTGCTCAAGTGTGTCATTCATCATGTCAGAGGTTGTCATTTAGTAGTACAGGGAAGTATTCTCTGTTGCCAAGCTCGAGTACCCAGAATCTTCTGTTTTGTTGAAACTTCCTCCCCACCACCAGCCTCTTTAGAAGACTGGGAGCTCTGGAAACATCTAAGCGAAGAGTCCTGTCCTTGTGCATGCTTGGGCATTGATCCAGGCCCAAATCTGTGGGAGACTCCTCCATGCACATTCCAGGTGCCCAGGTGACAGCGGCAGTCTCTAGATCTGGGGTCATCCACTTTCCCATTCCTAGCCCACCTCACCCATCACAAAGCCTGCTCAGGGTTGCCAGAGACTCCAGTGAGCAGGTGCTGATATTTGTGTGTGTGTTTGCCAAAAGAAAACGAGAAATCTGCTGTGTGCCCACCTGGCTGATCCCTCCACCTTTCTAGCCAAGGGCTTCATGAGCCAGGGCCCTTGGGTTTGCTCACAAGGCAGCCCCTCACCTAGTAGGCATTGGTTCATTATGTATATGTATATGTATATGTATATGCATATGTATATGTATATGTGTATGTATATGATCTGCAGGATGTATTCCTTAAATATATATAAATATATAGAATTCCTTAAATATATAATTTTAATAAAATTATTTTTCTTTTTTTTTTTTAAAGATGGGGTTTCACCATGATGGCCAGGCTGGTCTTGAACTTCCAACCTCAGGTGATCCACCCACCTCGGCCTCCTGAAGTGCTAGGATTACAGGCGTGAGCCACCGCGCCTGGCCTAATAAAATTTTTTTAAAAGAGTACTTTTCAATAGCACTAGGAAATATAAACTATATAGCAAAGATGTGAAAGCCAGCCAGGCTCAGCTTCAAATCCCAGCAACTTGGAAGGCTGTGGCAGGAGGGTCGCTGTTGCTCAGAAATTTAAAACTAGCCTGGGCAACATAGTGAGACCTCATCTCTACTGAAAACTATAAAAATTATCCAGGTGTGGTGGTGTGAGCCTGTGGCCCCAGGTGCTCAGTGGATGAGGCCCTAAGATCTCATGGGCCTGAGAATTCCATGCTGCAGTGAGCTGGGACTGTGCCCCTGTACTCCAGCCTGAGAGAAAGAGTGAGATTCTGTCTAGAAACAAATGAGGAAAAAAAAAAAGATGTGAAAGCCTGTATATTGAAGACTACCAGGTATTGCTGAGAGCAGTTAAAGACCTTTGGAATAGAGGATGTTCCTTCTTGCATTTCAAGATTGCTTTTGTTTTGGGGGCACACTTGCTATTTCTTAGGAATATGAAGTTCTTCTCAGCCATTCCTATAAAAAGGGCCATTTTGAGAAAGTTGTATTGAATCTGTGGATTGCTTTGAGTTGTATTTTTATCTTAACCATGTTACATCTTTTAACCCATGGACACAAATATCTTTCCACTTATTTAGGTCTTCTTTAATCTCCTTGAGCAATGTTCACAGAACTGGAAATAAACAACTTAAACTTCATATGGAACCAGAAAAGAGCACACATAGCCATGACAATCCTAAGAAAAAAGAACAAATCTGGAGGCATCACACTACCTGACCTCAAACTATACTACAGGGCTACAATAATCAAAACAGCATGGTACTGATACCAGAACAGAGATATAGACCGACAGAACAGAACAGAGGCCTCAGAAGTAACACCACACATCTACAACCATCTGATCTCTGACAAATCTGAGAAAAACAAGCAATGGGGAAAGGATTCCCTGTTTAATAAATTGTGTTGGGGAAACTGGCTAGCCATGTGCAGAAAGCTAAAACTGGACCCCTTCCTTACACTTTATACAAAAATTAACTCCAGATAAATGAAAGATTTAAACATAAGACCTAACACCGTAAAAACCCATGAAGAAAACCTAGGAAATACCATGCAAGACATAGGCATAGGCAAGGACTTCATGACTTAAACACCAAAAGCATTGGAAACAAAAGCCAAAATAGACATAATAGATCTAATTAAACTTAAGAACTTCTGCACAGCAAAAAAAAAACAATCATTAGAGTGAACCAGAAACCAACAAAATGGGAAAAAAATTTTGCAAGTTACCCATCTGACAAAAAACTAATAATCAGAATCTATAAAGAACCAAAACAACTATACGAGAGAAAAAGCAACCCCATCAAAGAGTAGGCAAAGGCTATGAACAGACACTTTTCAAAAGAAGACATTTATGTGGCCAAGAAACATAAGAAAAAATGCTCATCATCACTGGTCATTAGAAAAATGCAAATCAAAATCACATTGAGATACCATCTCACGCCAGTTAGAATGGTGATCATTAAAAACTCAGGAGACAACAGATGCTGGAGAGGATGTGGAGAATTAGGAATGCCCCTACACTGTTGGTGGGAATATAAATTACTTCAATCATTGTGGAAGACAGTGTGGCGATTCCTCAAGGATCTAGAAATAGAAATAACATTTGATCCAGTAATCTCATTACTGGGTATATACCCAAAGGATTATAAATCCTTCTATTATAAAGACACATGCACACGTATGTTCATTGTAGCACTGTTTACAATAGCAAAGATGTATAACCAACCTAAATGCCCATCAATAACACAATGGATAGAGAAAAAGTTGCACATACACACCATGGAATACTATGCAGCCATAAAAAAGGATGAGTTCATGTCGTTTGCAGGGACATGGATGAAGCTGGAAACCATCATTCTCAGCAAACTGACACAAGAACAGAAAACCAAACACCACATGTTTTCACTCATAAGAGAATGCTGAACAATGAGAACACAAGGACACAGGAGGGGAATATCACAAACTGAGGTCTGTTGAGGGTGGGGGGTGAGGGAGGGATAGCAGGGGATGGGAATATTGAGAAAAAATAGCATTAGGACAAATACCTAACGTAAGTGATGGAAGGATGGAGGCAGCAAACCACCACGGCATGTGTATACCTATGTAACGATCCTGCAAGATCTGCACATGCACCCCAGAACTTAAGGTAAAATAAAGAAAAAAAGAAAAGAAAAAGAAGACATCATCCCAGGGTGATGTGGTTTGCTCCCAGTAATTTGAAATATTTAAAGAATGGTTAAATGATCACTTGACAGTTATACTATAAACAGAAATAAGATACACAGAGTTAAACATCATTACTTTGAGAAGATAAATTTCAATGTCATTTTCAATCTTGAAAATCTTTCGTTTTATTTTGAAAAAAAAAAATCACCAATCTTAAAAAGATCACTGCAAAACAAAGGGATTATAGTCCATTTGCTTTTTCAAATAATAAACCTGGAAATATGTTCGTATGTATGTCAACAGTCAATGTAGTGTGGCATATTAAGAACTGACTTCCATATAATAGGTAAGTTTAGAGAAATTACATTTCATGAGAAAATGTTTTATGAATTTTAATGGGGTATGTTTATTTAAATCTAATTTTCGATTCTGTTTTGGGAAATAGTTGTCTGTTTCTTTTAGTGTATTCTCCTTCCTGTCCACGTATGTGGAATTACCTATTCTCCTCTCTTTTGAAATAGTCAAAAGACTCAAAGAGAACGGCCTGGGCTTTGCATGTCCTTAGTCTGATAGACATTTCCCTGGCTGCTCACATGAATAGATACTAGCAGCTAACTAAGAAAACTACATCTCTTGTCAGCCAGAAATTAACGAAGACTTCAAAATCAGTGAATTCTCTGTTTTTCTGTGGCCTTATGTGCTGACAGTCTTATCTTAAGAGAAAAAATTTTAATAGTATAGATTAAAAGTAACTTTGCAAAAATTAAAATGCAGGCAGGGAATTTTTTTTCCAACAACAGAAACTAGGAAAAGCAAAGACACAGTAAAAATTGAAAATTTCCAGTAAAGAGATATAATAATTGACACCGCCAGGGATGATCAATGAATAAAATGTTTAGGGGATGATCATTTGAACACAGCATATTAATACTTTTAAAAACCATTTTTCCAATTACTTCACTATAAATAAGGTATCTCTGAAAGGTACAGATATGGCATCACGATGATGGTGATAGACAAATGGTGGAACAGTCCTGGTACCACGATCATGGTGATAGACAAATGGTGGAACAGTCCTGGTACCATGATCATGGTGATAGACAAATGGTGGAACAGTACTGGTATCACGATCATGGTGGTAGACAATTGGTGGAACAGTCCCAGTACCACGATCATGGTGATAGGCAAATGCTGGAACAGTCCTGGTACCATGATCATGGTGGTAGACACATGGGACTGTATCTGTCTGCAGATGTGTGAGGTAGCATTGACCCTGCAGTGTTCCCGGAAAAACACTTTTAGGCTGAATTTAATCATGAGGACATTTTCAGAAAACTTCAGAGTATAGACCATTGAGCCAGACAGCTGACGTGTCCTCTACAAACAAGCCCATGTCACCACCATCAATGACAACAACAAAAAGGTGAGGAGACACTTTGGGTTCAAAAGAAGTAAAGAAATGTAGCTACATTAGGTTTTGACTCTTTTTCAACCCAAAGTATCTCTTCTCCTTTTAGTTGTGTGATTTGTGGTGACAAATACTTTTAAAAACCATTTGTTTTTTTAAAGGAGACAGGTCAGTCGTCCTGCTCACTGCTCTACATTATGAAGTTGTCTGGAGATTACCTCAGGCTATGAAACTCAGACTAAGCGTTTCAGCAAGAACATGGTGTTGTTCATACTCTGCACCGGCAGAGTCCCAGGTGACATGTTGTCTTAGTGTGGGAATATGACCCCTATCCGGGAGACCAGGTGGAGTCTTATCACTGTCATAGTAAGAAATCTACTGTCCATGTCCAAAGTCAAGCGAACATGCTCTTCCACAAGTAAAAAAATGGCATATGTGTAATCCTGGCATGTGTAGTAAAACTCAGGATAAGCTGTATACATTGAATACAATATATCCAGTGAGTACCGGAAGACTTCAGGCTCTTCTGCTTCCACCAGCTCCATGCTGAGCCTAGAAAAGGAGGAAAAACCAAAGAATAAGTCAGGGAAAATAAGACACCGCAGAGCCCCAACTAGATTTCATGGGTAGCACAAGAAAGTGGTTAATAAAGAAAAAACATAGATCCATTAATTACGTAACAAATTATTGCCTTATATTGGGATGGGCAAGAGTAGGGTAAAAAGAATGAAAGAGAAAGAGAGAGAGAGAAAGTAAGCTCAGTGAACCGTCCAGGTGACACACTGATGAGGGAGTAAAAGGACACTCTGAGTTAGTGCCCTCAGGACACACAGAGGACACAGATCATAAAAACCAGTATGGTCAACCTACAGTAGTTAGTACATGAAAATGGGAGGAAGAAATGGAAACCTAAATATCTACTGCAATGAAAACCAACAGCAATGTTAGTAGGAATAGTTCAGGCTTCGTTGAAAACACGGTATCGATATTGTCAGCCCACTCTGTGTTCCCTGGACCTGGCATCTCCAGGTGTCAACACAAAATTAGCTGTTCACAATTACTCAGAGTTACCTGGGGCATGGTGGGCCTTGACCTTCTTCCTCTTCTTGGTCATTTTTAATCTCTGCAATAAATTCAGACAGGGACAGACAAAATAAGCCAATTCCCCTACACCCATAACAGTCCACTGTCCAATCCCTGCACAGAGACCTCAGGCTCCCCAGCATGAGAACAGGATAATGTTAGAGATGGACTTCAGGAGGTCTGAAGGCCAATCATGATAGAGATTCCTTGGTTTGTGTCTCAGAACCAATGGTGAAATGTCTCTATTCTGGTAGACCATTATCCTTTTATCCCAAGTTTGTACAAACAGTTACACCAAGTTTGTACAAGCAGGGAAGAACCTGACAGACATGCTTGGGGAACAAAACTCATGAGGAACTTGGTAGCTGGCAAGAGACATTGAATCCAGATTGACAGACAACTCGTGGGCATGCGCTGCATAGCTCGGTGTGAGTGTGCAACACCTGCCTTGGGTTTCAATGTCCTGACAGTCGATCCAGGGTGCGACAGGCACGGCCTGAGACTAGAGAGAGAGCAAAGCTCACTAACACCCCATGTCCGTGCTTCAGACTGGAATCCAGAGTGACTGAAATCTACACTGATGTACAGGTTCAGCCCACAGTGATGACAACTCTCAGGCCAGCCAGGGGAGCAATGCCCAAAGACTATGGGGTCTATCTGGGACACAAAATGGAGCTTCATCGCCTTCACAATGGAGTACTCACTGTCTATGTCACGAGCCAAGTCGACTTGCTGATCCTCTAATAAGTGTAAGCTGCTCCTGTAAGGCTCATTGAAGGCAGATGTGCCAGGAGGAACTGAGAGAGTCAAATAACCTTCATCCCAGGACTCCTGGGGGGCTTCCTCCTCCACAGACTCCTGCAGATTCCTGATGAGCCAGGTAGGACAGGGTGACAGAAGAGTAAACCAACAGAGATTAGACAACAAAGTCTCCCAGCTGATCTGATGGAAGTCAGAATGGAGTGGTCTCAGAAAGCAAAGGCATTTCTCCTTCAAGAGAAAAAAAAACCATCCTTCTAAATGCAGGGTTGAGGGTGACTACCGTGGGGACAGGGCACAAATGAGCAGCAGGTGCTCAGAGTATTTGCACAGATGAGCCACCGCAGGCCACCCAGACTCCCTGTAAACTCTCATCATGATCTGCAGCACGAGAACTAACACGGGGCTTCAACTGCCTCGCATAAGTTGTGTTGAATTTTACATGCAGCATTCAAGTGAACAGAGCTCTTGAGGCATTTCAGACACCCAGATCTTGGGTTATAAGGGCCTCCTTTTTCCAGTATTTTGATATCAAATGTATATTTTTTGAATTTCTTCTCTTCACAAATCCTAGCAAACGCTAACAAGAAATACGCAGAAAGCATATATGCGTCTCTCCCTGGAATTAAACACATGGGAGAGAACAGGTGAAACCAGGAAATCCCTGTTTGCTGAGTTCACCTGGCTCATCTGATTGCAGGCTCCTATCTTAGAAGGACTAAGAAATTCAAACCTACACCAGTGCCACAAATCACCCACAACACTGTCAATAAGGACAATTTGTAGCTGGGTGAATGGAAGAAAGTGTTCTAGTCATCACTTCCCTGTTTTCCCTGGATCTGTGGTCTCCAGGTGTCACTACTGAACTAACAGCCCACAACTCCACCGCGTTACCTGGGGGGCACTGGCCCTTTTTCTTCCTCTTCCTCATCATCACTTTGAATTTCTGTAAATGAATTCAGAGAAGCAGGTCACATTAAGCACATCACACTTCACACAAGACCAAATCAGTGTTTAGTCATAGCACAAGCACAGAAATGTTCTCAGGCAAGAATACAAATTCTCACAGGCAGATGCTAGGGTGCTCTAGATGAAGCCTGGTGAGTAGATGAGCCTGCTTTCCAGATGCACAGACCAAAATCTCCCTCTACGGGTAGACCATAATGCAATATTCTCTCCCTCAGTCTGTGCAAAGTTAAACCAAATTTTTTCCCAGAAAATCTCCAAAAGTTAGTCAAACTATTTTCTGGCAGTGTTGCTGCAATATTGACATATCTCACCAGGTAGCAAGGTCATTGAATAGTTAGAGGCATCTATGCATGAAACTGGACAATATGTAAACTCTAACCACACTTGCTTGAAAAAGAATCTGTGAGCTTTGCGCAGTGGCAGTATCATAGCCAATGAGGTTTATCCGAGATGAGATTATCGCTAATTGAAAACTTTCCCCAATACCCCGCCATGATGACATGCAAATAGAGTCACCATTGACAATTTTTGACAGTCCCTAGGGAGAAGGAATAAAAAAAGACAAAACAAAAACAAACAAAAAAAATTTGTCTCAGACCAATGGTGAAATGTGAACCGGGCATCGTGGCTCACGCCTGTAATCCCAGCACTCTGAAAGGCTGAGGTGAGCACCTCACGAAGTCAGGAGATTGGGACCATCCTGGCTAACACGGTGAAAGCCTGTCTCTACTAAAAATACAAAGAAATTAACTGGGCATGGTGGCACACGTCTACAGTCTCAGCTACTCGGGAGGCTGAGGCGGCACAATCGTCTGAACCCAGGGGGCAGAGGTTGCAGTGACCTGAGATCGTGCAGCTGAACTCCAGCCTGAATAACAGAGGGAGACTCCACCTCCAAGAAAAAGAAAAAACAAAATCCGTGATTTGAAAGGACAAAGTAGGTGAAAAATTTAAGGTCAGGAGTTCAAGACTAGCCCGGCCAATATGGTGAAACCTCGTCTCTACTAAAAATACAAAAATTAGCTAGGTGTGGTGGTGAGCACCTGTGGTCCCAGCTACTCAGGAGGCACAGGCAGGAGAATCAGTGGAGTCTGCAAAGTGGAGCTGCAGTAAGCCAAGATGGTGCCACTGCACTTCAGCCTGGATGACAAAAAAAGACTCCATCTCAACAACAGCAAACAATATGGGACGCTACGAAGAAAAATCAGACCGGCCCTTGCACTGATGGGGTGGAGAGCCGGGCTGAGCCTTGCTTCACGGAAACACATCGGCAAGGTAAAGAGGAAATGTTTTCATCCTGGTTTCAAGGTGACTGTGCAGCTAAGCAAGCTGACTCAAAAGAGATCAAGACCGACACTCAGAGCAGTGAAACCTCGGGAACAATATCTCCAAATAAAAAAGCAAGGCTCCCAGTTTCCTTACAAAGAAATGGAAACTCCATGAACATCATTCAGGGACAGATGACATAATGACAGGAGATGAGAGATACCGACTCAAAGCTAGGAGACCTGACAGACACCTACTGTACACCTCCTGCACTCAGGTGACCATGAGATTGTCACATGGGCCTGGGGTCTGGTAACTTGATACTCGGGCCAGGGAGACAAATGCAGGGCATGAGCTGAGGAAGAGATAACAATTCCCTGATATCTGTTTTTAGTGTCCCATCATATGTATCTATTCAAACCGATTTGTGTGTATAGAGCCTGTCTTCAGAGGTGATCTTCCTCAGCCTAGACAGAGGTACCAAAATCAAGGAATGTAGAGGTCACCTGAAAGAATGATTAGCGCATCCTCCACTACATCATGAGACGATTCACTCTCTACAACCAGCGCAGAATCGACGCTGTCTTCCTCAAATGTGATTTCATTGGTGTCTCTGGGAGGCTGGCTGGAGTCAGGAGGGCCATAGCTATTTGAACGAGTGACGACACATTCCTCCAGTGAGTCCTCAGGGACTTTCTTGACTTCAATCTTCTGCACCTCTCTGATGAGCCAGATGGGATAAAGATGACAGAAGATTAAACAAAGGGGGATTGGACAGGAGGAATAAGAGAGGGGTCTCAGAAGGCAAATGGGAGGTTCCCTTTGAGAAGAAACAGGCAATCCTCCTCTCTGCAACACAGCATGGCTGCCATGGGAACCGGAGAGGAAGAGAGCAGCTGGTATTCATCACACTGGGCAGAAAGGAGCTGAGGAGAACAGAGACTCAGTTATCCCTGCATAATTCAGACACGGCACTCAGCACATACAAAGAACCACAACAGCTGCCACACCCTGCGTCTAAGTTGGGCTGAACTGAATATATTGTGGCCAAGGGAATGCAGGCTTTTGGCCCATGGGAGATGCCAGAGAGGGTGAGATTCTAGAACTTTTCCATACTTTACCACCCATTACTTCCTCCTGATTCTTCAGTGTTACCTGGGGGCACATGACTCCTGTATTTCCTCAGCCTCCACGACATGAACATCTTCATCCTCATCTTTTTCATTTTCTGCAAGTACAGATGTGTTCGTTCAGATATTTCCCGTTTCACACTCTGCAAGCATATTCAGCCCAATGTGCACAGGGACATGAACGTCTGTGTGTGGGTCCCTGTTCTACTGAAAGCTCTCATGTTTTCTCTGTAACAAAACGCCCTGGCATGGTTTCTTGATCCACCAGGCAATGCGTTTCTGATCCGGAGGCTCACCGTCAAGATGAGGCCAAATGTTGAAAAGACCTTCTGCTCCCACATCACTGGAGGCTTGTGCAGCCTCTCTCTGGAATTTGGCAGCTTTCTCCCCCAACCTGACACATATCTGATGCCCAGGGCCAGGGTTGCCTTCCTGTCACAGTGCACATTTACAACCTATTTCTTTCTCTTAGGAGAGGACAAACAAACTTGTCCCACAATCCTCTGCACATCAGGTGACGTCACAGGCCGTCCAAGTGGCTTCTGCTATGGTATTCAGGGACATTCTCTCCACAGGGAGTGCTCCAGTCTGAACCGCTTCCTAACACCAAATGCCCACACATCAAGTGCTGTCTCCAACACCACACAGCCAGGGGCTTTATCTCATTTTGATAAGCGGTCATAAGTGTTCGCACGTTTGAAGACTTCAGACACTGCAAGACGTCTGCCTTTGCAGATGGAGAGAGAGAAATTTGCCTGACTTTGCAGATGGAGGGACAGAAAGTCAGGAAGGAGAAATCAATTGCTCACTGACAGTTACTAAAAACACTGCTGAAGATACAGCCTGGGAACCTTCATTCTTAATCCCGAGCTCTTTCCACTCCAACAACCGCCCTCCTGTCACAGCTTCCTTTTAGTCCTTTACAACTGGACAGATGCTGCCCCTTGTTCCAAAGAACACCTCCCATCAGATTATGTAAGGAGCAGAGTGCTCTTTAAGCTCCCGCAGTGGGTTCTGTGTGCTATCACTGTATTTCCCCCAGGCCCCCAGAACACAGCTTTCCCTACTTGACCTTAGCAGAAACCTGAACTGAATGGCAGTTCATGAGCCTCAGGCATTTCGACCAAGAGACTAGATGCTACTTGTCTGCAGGATTTTCTGTGGTACAGAGAGGATTCCTGTGAACATGATTTGGCCTCTTGCTGAGAAAAACAGGTGGTTCTGTGCCTGTGTCAGGAATCAATGGCTGAGATTTTACCCTGAGTCCCACACCCACCTTACTGCAGACGTGGAAAAGTGGCTACATGCTTTGGCCTCTCTCATTCATTTTTATAAAATGTTAAAATACAAATTTATATTTGCCTAGAAGTATGGGGAAAATGAAATAAATTCTGATGAAGAGAGTGTTCAGTTTCTCAGACAAAACACAGAACACTCTTCAGCACTTCTGTGATGGTGAACCTACAGAACTTACCTTCCGTCTTCAGCCGGCAGCCCAGGTCGTAGGCTGCTTGACTCATAAGAAGTTTATTTTGGCTGTCTCCGTATTGCCGGTCCTCCTCATGATCTTTTCGATCTTCTGTAAGCAAATTCAGAAAAGCAGGTCACATTAAGAAAATCACACTTCACATAAGACCAAACCAGTGTTTAGTCATAGCACGAGCACAGAATTGTTCTCAGGGCAAGAATACAAATTCTGACAGGGAGATTCTAGGGTGCCCTGGATGAAGCCTGGTGAGTAGATGAGCCTGCTTTCCAGATGCACAGGTGAAAATCTCCCTGTACAGGTGGACCATAGTGCTATATTCTCTGCCTGAGTCTACGCAAAGTTAAACCAAATTTTTTCCCAGAAAATATCCAAAAATTAGTCAAACTGTTTTCTGGGAGTGTTGCTGCAATACTGACTTATCTCACCAGGTAGCAAGGTCATTGAATGGTCAGAGGCATCTATACATGAAACTGGACAATATGTAAATTCTAACCACACTAGCTTGAAAAAGAATCTGCGAGCTTTGCGCAGTGGCAGTACCGTAGCCAATGAGTTTTATCTGAGATGAGATTATTGCTCATTGAAAACTTTCCCCAATAACCCGCCGTGATGACATGCAATAGTCAGCATTGACAATTTTGGACAGTCTCTAGGGAGAAGGAATAAAAAAAGATGAAACAAAAGCAAAGAAAGAAGAATCTGTGGGCCGGGCATGGTGGCTCCTGCCTGTAATCCCAGCACTCTGAAAGGCCGAGGTGAGCACTTCACGAGGTCAGGGGGTCGGGACCATCCTGGCTAACACGGTGAAAGCCTGTCTCTACTAAAAATACAAAGAAATTAGCTGGGCATGGCGGCACGCGCCTACAGTCTCAGCTACTCAGGAGGCTGAGGGAGCACAATCGTCTGAACCCAGGGGACAGAGGTTGCAGTGACCTGAGATCGTGCAACTCAACTCCAGCCTGAATAACAGAGGGAGACTCCATCTCAAAAAAAAGAAAAAGCAAAATCCATGATTTCAAAGTACAAGGTGGGTGAAAAATTGAAGGTCTGGAGTTCAACTCCAGCCTGGCCAATAAGGCGAAACCTCATCTCTACTAACAATACAAAAATTAGCTAGGTGTGGTGGTGAGCACCTGTGGTCCCCGCTACTCAGGAGGCAGAGGCAGGAGAATCACTGGAGTCCGTGAAGTGCAGATTGCAGTAAGCCAAGATGATGCCACTGCACTCTAGCCTGGGTGACAAAATAAGACTCCAACCCAACAACAGCAAACAATTATGTGATGCTACGAAGAAAAATCAGAACGGCCATTGCACTGATGGGGTGGAGAGCCGGGCTGAGCCTTGCTTCATGGAAACACATCAGCAAGGTAAAGAGGAAATGTTTTCATCCTGGTTTCAAGGTGACTGTGCAGCTAAGCAAGCTGACTCAAAACAGATCAAGACCGACGCTCGGGGCAGTGAAACCTGGGGAACAATATGGCCAAATAAATAGGCAAGGCTCCCAGTTTCCTTAAAAAGAAATGGAAACTCCATGAACATCGTTCAGGGACAGATGACAGAATGACAGGAGATGGGAGATACTGACTCAAAGCTAGGAGACCTGACAGACACCTACTGTACACCTCCTGCACTCAGGTGACCATGAGTTTGTCACACTGGCCTGGGGTCTGGTAACTTGATGCTTGGGCCTCGGAGACAAACGCATGGCATGAGCTGAGGAAGGGATAAAAATTCCCTGATATCTGCGTTTAGTATCCCATCATACATTTTTATTCAAACTGATTTGTGTGTATAGAGCCTGTCTTCAGAGCTGATCTTCCTCAGCCTAGACAGAGGTACCAAAAACAAGGAATGTAGGGGTCACCTGAAAGAATGATTAGAGCATCCTCCACTGCATCACGGGACGATGGACTCTCTACAACCAGTGCAGAGTTGAGGTTGTCTTCCTCAAATGGGATTTCATTGGTGTCTCCGTATGGAGGCTGGCTGGAGTCAGAAGGGCCGTAGATATTTGAACGAGTGATGACACATTCCTCCGGTGAGTCTTCAAGGACTCTCTTGACATCCACCTTCGGCACCTCCCCGATGAGCCTGAGGGTATCGAAATGACAAAAGATTAAACAAAGGGGGATTGGACCCCGGGAACCCCTGGCCGGTTTTCACAGGAGGAATAAGAGAGGGCCCTCAGAAGGCAAATGGGAGGTTCCCTTTGAGAGGAAACAGGCAATCCTCCTCTCTGCCACAGAGCATGGCTGCCATGGGAAACCGGAGGGAAAGAGAGCGGCTGGTATTCGTCACACTGGGCAGAAAGGAGCTGAGAAGAGCAGAGACTCAGTTATCCCTGCATAGTTCAGACACGGCACTCGGCACACACAAAGAACCGCGACAGCTGCCACACCCTGTGTCTAAGTTGGGTTGAACTGAACGTATTGTGGCCAAGGGAATGGAGGCTTTGGGCCCATGGGAGATGCCAGAGAGGGTGAGATTCTAGAACTTTTCCATACTTTACCACCCACTACTTGCTCCTGATTATTCAGCGTTACCTGGGGGCACGTGACTCCTGTATTTGCTCAGACTCTGTAACATGAACATCTTCATCCTCCTCTTGGTCATTTTCTGCAAGTACAGATGTGTTCGTTCAGATATTTCCCGTTTCACACTCTGCAAGGACAGTCAACCCAATGTGCACAGGGACATGAACGTCTGCGTGTGGGTCCCTGTTCTACTGAAAGCTCTCATGGTTTCTCTTTAACAAAACGCCCTGGCATGGTTTCCTGATCCACCAGGCAATGTGTTTCTGATCCGGAGGCTCACCGTCAAGATGAGGCCAAATGTTCAAAAGACCTTCTGCTCCCACATCACCGGAGGCCTATGCAGCCTCTTTCTGGACTTTGGCAGCTGACTCCCCCATCCTGACACAGATCTGATGCCCAGGGACAGGGTTGCCTTCCTGTCACAGTTCACATTTAAAACCTGTTTCTTGGCCGGGCACGGTGGCTCACGCCTGTAATCCCAGCACTTTGGGAGGCCGAGGCGGGTGGATCACGAGGTCAAGAGATCGAGACCATCCTGGTGAACACGGTGAAACCCCGTCTCTACTAAAAACTACAAAAAATTGGCTGGGCATGGTGGCGCGTGCCTGTAATCCCAGCTACTCAGGAGGCTG